TTCAGAAAGGTTAGGCCAGTTAAGAGCCAAGAGCAGTCAGTGAAAGCCCCCATCCCATGTGCACCCACACTGGCTCTCACTGGGTGTTTTCACTGTTGCTCCTGTGGAACATTCGCACTTGCATCCGTCGCTGCCACGAGTGGTTGGCCAGTTGTAGGTCTCTCACCAATTGCCATGGGGGTCCTCTGCCCATTTCCACCCTGTCGATATGTTTTATCTTTTTCTTCTCGGAAGGAACTTTGTATTTTAAAGGATTATAGACCCTTTATCATTAGGGTTGCACAAGAATATTTTTTCCATTTGCTTTTAGTTCTATGGTGACTTTCTACACAAGAGTTTTCGAATTGTATGTAAGAATTGTCCATCTTTCCTCTCGTGACTTCTTCTAAGATTGGGGCCATCTGTAGAAAGGCAGACCGTACTGTCATAAACTAGGTTTGAAATCATCTGGAATTGGTTGTCTCATTCATTTACTCATTTGTTTGGAGTCCTTCACTGGGTAGTCCAAATGGTCAATGTGCTCTGCTGCTTAGAGACAAAGGGGAGGGTCCGGTCCCCGCAGACGCACCTGCGAGGAAGGGCCTGACAAGCTACTTTCCTTTCAGAAATGCAGCCATTGAAAACCCTGTGGAGCACAGGCTTTCTGGCACAGGAGGGTTGTCATGAGGCAAAATAGCAACTGCCTGTGTTGTTTTTGTTGATTGCATTTTAAATGTGTAAGCAATTGAGGATTTGGTTTGCCAGAAGCTGGAAAGTTGGAATCTAAATCTAGTATATTCAACAGGGCCAGCTAGTTGCCCTAAGACATTTGAATAATGGATCATTTGCCCACAGATTTGGAGTGCCGACTTTATCAAGTATGAAATCTCCACACAGTCACGAGACTGTTTTAGAGTGATCCCTTTAGTAGGCTTAGGTAGATGGGGAGAATTCTCTAGTATATTTTATTAGTGTTCAGAAATAAGCTTAATTGTGAACCTCACAAAGTAAAAAATGAGCCTTTTTTTATAGCTAAATTTAGTCACATGTTGTTGTTAGGTGCCACCAAGTTGCTTCCGACCCCTAGTGACCCCGTGCACAACAGACTGAAGCAACCCTCCTGTGCTGACCAGTCGTTCCTGTGCTTGAGCCCAGTGTTGTAACCACTGTGTCCGTCCAGCTCCTCGAGGGACTTCCTCCTTTTCACTGCCCCTCTAGTTTACCAGGCATGACGTCCTTCTCCAGGGACTAGTCTCTCCTGACAACATGTCCAAAGTATGTAAGACAAAGTCTCACCATCCTTACCTCTGAGGCCCCTTCTGAGGACCGTTCTGCCTCTCCTTTTTCAGAGACACATTTGTGTGCCCTTTTCTGCTTTCAGACACGTGGTTATATCTTGTTTTGTTTTATTTTGTTTTTTCCCAGTGGAGAAAGTAGCCAACGAAAGCCAGAAGACCCCTAGAGATGTTGTTATGATGGAGAACTTTCACCATATTTTTGCAACTCTCTCTCGTTTGAAAATCTCATGTCTAGAAGCTGAAAAAAAAGAAGCTAAGCAAAAATACACAGATCACCTTCAGTCTTACGTCATTTACTCTTTAGGACAGCCACTTGAAAAACTAAATGTAAGTATATCTCCGACTGGTTCAAATTACACCTCCTTCACATGTGGGTAACACGAGGCGTTGATGCGAAATCTGTTCCCGGGTTGGTACAGGGGGAACAGGAAGAGAGACTCGGTCATGGAAACTGCCAATGTGCCAAGCACTACTGAGATTCACTGTATGTGTTGTTTCTCAGAGTAGCATATCCTTCTTACAAATGAGCAAACAAAAT